GAGATGGGAGAGAAAGAGAGAGGTTTGGCAGGGGGCTAGAGAGAGAGAGAAACCCGTTATAGAGAGAGAGGGGGGTTTAGAAAGGAATAGATACGGGCGTGTTTCTTACTTTTGTTTGGGCTAAAAAGGGATGATCAAAAGGGATAAAGTTGGTTCAGGGGGTTAGGTGATATACTATGTTGGATCTCTATGCTGCCAGAACTGTTTTCAAAATCCTGGGTTTGTTGGGAAATAGAACCGCAAAATACGGTGTACGGAGATATTTTCCCACTTTTTATTACATATTAGTAAATATTGGTATACTGTGTGGGTCTTTGGCAATAACCTTAGGTTTCTTGTATTCTATCTTTGATCTATATGTCAGTGTTCATAATTCTCTGGGTTTTACCATGTATGTGCTGTACTTTTGTAATGTATTTCATTCATTGGTTCATGTTTCTAGATAATATTTCTTTGTAGTTTCCAGAATTTGATACATTTGGAAACAATGTAGAGTATATTGTGCTGTTTATTCAATTTGTTTCCTGACCTTGTATGGAGTGGGACACTGTGATTTTGAGAAATTACTGTTGACTGGCTTAGATTTCTGCTGCTGACCATTAGCTTTCCTTCGTATGTCTCAAATAACTTTTCTGCAGTACTAGTAAGTTGATAAGAAAGTTCTCATGAGGATGTTGCATAACCGTTCAATAAATGCAAGTGTGTGCTTTTTGCACTTTTCTCAGTTAATTGCTTTTTCGTGCAGTGGTACGCTGGAGGTTAATTGCTCAAAGGATGTGAAAATTCAAGGAATCATAGGACCCTGCACGTCTTTGGAGAAGGTTGCATTTTTTTGGGGAGCATTTTTGCAAGTTTTCTTATATAATAGTTTTACATTTCTATGATCTTCTCAGTACTTTTTTATCCCACTGTTGTAAGAGCTGATGGGTTTTTTGAAGTAATAGAAATTTTGTATATTTATTTTCTGTATATTACTAATAACAGCAAATTTTGCAGAAAGGACCATCTTGTGCCGATGTAGTGATTGGGCAGGGGAATACGTCACAATGGAAGATCTGCGGTCTTGACAAAAGCACTTGTTTGACAGTTTTCTTTGATGTTGCACCTAGTGAACGATCAAACCCTGCACCACAGGCTATACATCAGCAATTATATCTTCAGTTCCTTACAACGTATGCTGGCTTCTTTGTATATCTGAGACATTGTTGTTCAAGTATTTGCTGGTATTTCTCGTGTTTCTAAGGGTTTTCTGATCACGTGTTGCAGTTATCAGCATCCTGGAGGACAAATGAGGCTCCGAGTAATAACAGTTGCAAGGAGGTGGCAAGAAAATTCTGCAAATACAGAGGTTAGTTTCCAATGTTTTAGTGTGATGCTTTTGCTCCTTTTGTTATTATATATATGGAACTTGTCCTTATTAATGCAA